TCATGTAGCAATACTGCTGATGCTTTCATCTCAGATGATTGTTTAGTTAGCAGTCTGAAGGGATTTTGTGACGCTTTACGCACACAAGTATTACTTTCTCGATGGTACAAATCAATTAGCTGCGGAGAGGCAAGCTTTTCTAGCGACAGTTCCAAATTCTAAATTCAATCCTGAAAGTGCGCCACTTATCCATCAGATATTTCTAAATGTCAGTAGTATACCGGGTCTGATCTGGGAATTCTTAGTACTCTTTATATTAGTGCGGTATCGCATGCGCTGCTTCAATAACTTCACGATTAAACAAGTTAACAGCGGTGAGTACTGAAATAATCTCTGAGAAAGCCATAACTCATCCAGAAATTTGAAAATTACATCCAGAAAATTAGAAAAATTTGCGTTCAGCTATCATCCAGAAATTTACATAAAAAATTTCCATGATGTTTTTTCAAACATCTTCAAACCTTCATATAGGAAACTTTCGGGAGCACTTCTTTTGCAGCACTGGATTCCGCACTTAGTGTCAAGAAGAGCGTAAGCGAGCCGAATATTCGCCCAGTGGCGAATTCCTCCGGGAGCCAAACACCGATCCAGGACAGCACAACACACGTGGCTGTTGGGATATATGTTTTAGAAATGTGATAGCCCAAGCGGCGTTTCAACAAAAATTGCGCTTCCAAGCAAGAAAATTTGCCTGTAATTGCTCATTTCAATGTCAAACTATTAAACACTATATTTTTTGAGGAGAAAAAATTAAGCATGATTTTTCAAGGATTCTTTTAGTCTCAATAAGTTATGAATACCTGTTTTACGGGTGCCATTGCACTGCTGTTTGTGGTATTTTTCGATATAAAGTTCAGTGAGTTCCATGTTTTTGTTCATTCGAATCGCATCGCTGAGCCGTGGAAACCAATTGTACTGTACTGAGTCTTCTGTTGATGCTACTGCAACTCATATTGTCAACTACGTTTCATAATGTAATTCCCCAAAATTGCAGGTGACAGTTTTTTTAATTGCATTTACTAAGGCTAATGCTTGTAAGATTCGGTCTGTTGGCGATTTTGAAATTCAAAAACAGCCGAAAAGTTTGGACAAATGAAAAAATATGTGATAAAAAATTTCCTGACTGTCCTTCTTTCAGCGACCTCGATCGAAAGTAACTAACGGCAAAAAAAGTTTAACAGCTCAGACAATTTTTGAAGCTGATCGACTTTCTCAGCTCATTGAGCTCAAGTATCTCAAAATTTTTATAAAATGCACTCGGAACACACACACACACACACACAAACCCAGACAGAGTCTCGACAATATGCCTTTTATGCAACGATTTGCAGCAGAAAACACGTGAAAAACAAGTTTAAAGTTTCAGAGTTAAATTCAAATTCAGTAAGAAAAAAAATAAAAAAGATTGGAAATATTCAAAAATTGGAAAGAAATATGGCAGCAAGCACAGATTTCGTCTTTGAAAGAACTGCTTAATGAGCAAAGTTATATATACTTGTTCGGTAGGTTAACAAGAGAAAAACGAAAAGGCAAGAAACTGATTTCGTCATGTCAAACTGCAGATTTTCTCGAAAAATCCGGTGGTAAAATCAGTTTTTTT